ATGACCTAAGCCGAAGGCTGACGCTTAACGACTGAGCCACCCAGGCGCCCCCTATAGGTTCTTTCCCTTGAACCTCACAATTGCTGAGAGAAAGGGGACTGATATAATAACAGATCCCACCCTTCTGAGCACTTGTTACGCACCAGGCACACGCTTTAGATCCATTACTTCATTCAGTCCTCAGAGGTTGGCTCTACTATTATTTCCATTTACAGATGAGGAAAACCGAGGATCATAAAGGAAAGTGTCTCAGATGGCAGCGTGGGAACTGAAACCCCACATCGTCCTACTTCCAGGGCCGTCCCCAGGAAGAGGTGGATGGTGCAGGGTCTCCTTCCCAGGCCACAAGTGAGGGCTTTGCTTGTCGGGATGGAGGAGAGAGTTGGTCTCATATTTACAACCCAAGATCGATGGCCGCAATGAGTTTGTTTGCTCTACACGTGCACCAAATTCAACAGTAAAGCAATTCCCATGTTTTTTACCTTTCCAGGGTTTTGAAAGACTGGATGACATCCTTTGCATGCCCCCAAAGAAAATACACCTAGGAAGTAAAGGAAGAAAAGAAAGATGCATCAGTGAAAACCATCGTTATATTTGCACGCTGAGAAGCTATGCAACTTGCAGAAACAGAATGGGAAGATGTTGGGGACCTCAGTGACCTCCCATCCCAGATTCATCTCAGGTGTCAGTGCCATCCCCCAGTGGGGACTGTGCTCCGGGAGCCTGGGATGAGAACCGAGTGAGGCTTCCAGGTTTGGGAGGAAGAGCTTCTAGGACAGGTTGAAGCTGTCAGAGGGGATGGGGCTTGGGGAGTGGCAGCCTGCCTGTCATGAGCCCCGTTATCCCGATTCTATCACCTGTGTTAGGCTTCCTCCAAGAACTATCCACCGAACAGTTCCTACGCCAGTGGCCTGACACCAAATTTTGAGTGCTTTAAATGAAGAGCAGAGTGAATCAGGCTGGCGCTTCATTTCCCTGTGTGCCGTGCACCACCCAGGCCCCTGGCCAAACAGCCATAAGCTGCAGCACAGGGCTGGCGCCCGTGGGGGAGGCTGGTGTGGGACCTGTGCGCAAATCCTCGGGCAAGTCAGGGTACCTTTCTCCAGGTGTTTTCCCTTGCACGAAACAGGGATGATAACGGAACCTACCTTGGACGGTATTATGATCCGTTAAATAAGATTATCCATGTCAAGTACTTAGAACAGCGCTCAGAGTGGGCGCATTTTCAGTAAACGCTCTTCACTGGCAACTTACTCCCCATTAGCTGAATGCCTCCCACATGCCTGCTATTATTTGAGCTCCTAAAACATTTTGGGGTTTATTTCACACGCAGACACACATTGAGCACCCACCACATACCAAACACTGCTGGGCACTTTATAAATTTGTCTCATTCAATCTTCATTGTGCAATTAAGTGCTATCAAAAGAAAATCGGCACAAAAGAAAATTCACTGACACATCCTCTCTTTTCCACGTTGTTCTGCCTAAGACTTACTGGCTGCTCTGAAAACACTTTTCAGGGGACGGGTCCTGAAACATCTGGCAACTTCAAATTCCAATAGCAGTGACTCCTGGTGAGACTTTCAGCCCAACAATAGGGAAGCAGTTCGTTAGAGGATTTATCAATGATTTCCAAATTAGACAGCTACTTCACTGATACTTTCATAAAGACTACATAGCAACACAAAAAGAGTTTATAATTTTTTAAGTGAAACTTCAGAATAGAAAATGCTGCCCCTTCTCTGTAAAAACGTCCACAAGAACGTATACACTGGAGTACAAGGAAGGAAAAGAACACAGAAACAGCAACATATGTTTCAGTTAGTGGGCTTACAGACACATTGTTATTCTATTTTCCAATTTTTTCTGGTTGATTATGTTTTTAAAATAAATATCTTTTAATGACCATGGAATCCAGCAATCCCACTTCTGGGTATACATCCAAAGGAATTGAAAGCAGGGTCTCAAAAAGATATTTGCACGCCCATGTTTATAGCAGCATTAATCACAATAGTCAAAAGGTAGAAGCGACCCAGGTGTCCATCTATGGAGGAATAAACAGAATGTGGTCCATCCATACAATGGAATATTGCTCAGCCTTAAACAGGACGGAAATCCTGGCACCTGCTACATCATGGATAAACCCTGAAGACAATACAGTCAGTGAAACACAGCCAGTCACTAGGTACCCCTTATGTGGGGTACCTAGAGTAGTCGAATTCATAGAGACAGGAAACAGAATAGTAGGTACCAGGGGCTGGGGGAAGAGGGAATCACTAGTTAGTGTTTAACAGGGACAGAGTTTTAATTTTGCAAGATGAAAGAGTTTTAGAGATGGGTTGCACAGCAGTGTGAATATACTTAACACTACTGAACTGTAGCTAAGACAGCAAATTTTATGTTTTAAAATAAATACCATATTGCTTTAAAATAGTGTCTTTCATTCCCCAGCCATCTAGTATAGCAAAGGCATGTAGTAAGTGACCACTAGGTACAGAATGCTTGATTAATTGGCTGATAAAATGCCTTAAATCCGGAAGCCAGAGATCTGCAACCCACCAAGTAGCAGAGTGATATTTTGAAAACTCACATTTGTCCAGGTATTCCTCTGCCTAAAGCCTTCAATGGCTCCCCATTGCCCTCAGGATAAAGTTCAAGCTCCTGAGTGGCTGTCAGCCTTGGCCAAGTGCTCACTGTAAGTGCTTTATACACAGCAGCTCCTTTAATCCTCACAACAACCCCGAGAAGTAGGCCCTTTACAGATGAGACCGTGAGGCCCAGAGAGGGTAAGTAATTTGCCAGAGCTCACATTGCTGGTATGAGCCAGAGCCAGGTCGTCTGAGCAGAGTCCACGCTCATAAGCCCTACACCAAACCATGGCCCTGTCTGTGTCCGGTGCCCTAGCCCGCTTCCCCCCACAGACCCACATGTCTTCTCTCCGGCATGCAGGAAGACCATACATCCCCCAAGTGTCCTCTTTTAATGTCTCTGACACACCACACCCCTCTTTCCTTGACAGCTCTGGGGCTCTTCCTGGCAAAAACTACCCCTCACCCCAAAGCTGGCGAGAGTCCTCCCTGGGGCTCCTTCATCACTGGGAGACTTTGGTCAAAGCATGGAGCCTCCATGTTTTCACTGTTCATGTTTATGAATTTCTCCCCATCTGACTGACAACTCCGTAGGGCTCAGAACACAGCTCTTCACCCTTGCACTCCCAGTCCTGGGAACAGTATTTGCTGGGTTCAGAGTGAAGGCAGGAAGGCAGGAAGGCAGGAAGACAGGGAGGAAGGGAGGAAGGGAGGAAGGAAGGGAGGAAGGAAGAAAGGAAGGAAGGAAGGAAGGAAGGAAGGAAGGAAGGAAGGAAGGAAGGAAGGAAGGAAGGGAGAGACTGGAGGGAGGGAAGGAAGTTATTTCTTTCTGGTCTCACTAAGGCTCTCCACATTGTCACTGGTATCACTATAAGACTCTGTCACCATGGGATTTGACTCCCCTGAAATAAATAGCCAATAAATGAATTGCTGGTGTTTCCAGGACAAAATACCATAGACTGGGTGGCTTAAAACAACAAAAATGTATTTGCTCACACTCCGAGAGGCCAGAAGCCCAAGATCAAGGTGTGGGCGGGGTTGGTTGCTCCTGAGGCCTCCCCCGCCGGCTTGTGGATGGCTGTCTTCCTCCAGCGTCCTCACGTGGTCTTCCTTCTCTGTAAGTCTGTGTCCTAATCCCCTCTTCTTATAAAGACACCAACTCTATTTTTTTTTTAAAGATTTTATTTATTTATTTGACAGACAGAGAGATAGTGAGAGCAGGAACACAAGCAGGGGGAGTGGGAGAGCGAGAAGCAGGCTTCCTGCCGAGCAGGGAGCCCGATGCGGGGCTCGATCCCAGGACCCTGGGATCATGACCTGAGTCGAAGGCAGACGCTTAACGACTGAGCCACCCAGGCGCCCGACACCAACTCTATTTGATCAGGGCCTCCCATATGACCTCATTCAACCTTAATTACCTCCATAAAGACCCTATCTCCAAATACAATGCTTCAGTGACCCAGAGGAGTGATCATAACGGCACAGGGTTTCTTTTGGGGGTGACGAAGATGTTCTAAGATTGATTGTGGTGATGGTTGCACAACCCCATGAATATACAAACCACTGACTTGTACACTTTAGAGGGGTAAATTGTATGGTATGTGAGTTACAGCTCAATAAAACTCAGTGAAATATATTCAAATTCCCCCCAAGCCTTTGCTGGTAGACTCAAGCTTGGCAAAATTTCCTGACTCTCCATTACAAGTTCTGCCTCACAGGATTCCCACAAAGACAGCCAAGGGGACACAGAGACCCATTTTACAGTGGAGGCAGCTGAAGGACTGAGCCTCAGAGAAGGATCCAAGCCCACCTCGTGCTGCCCACCCAATGCATCCCATTTCATACACACCCTGGGATGCACTTAACAGGAGCCGACGTAACATAAATAAACATCGTAGGGTTTACCTGCAACAGAGTATGTACTGCGTGTGTGACAGGAAAGACTCCTTCAGTGGCTGATAAACACTCAGAAAATCCAACGAAGTACCCAATTTTAAGGCATCCCAGGATGATGGTAATGGCCGCAAACAATGTGATACTACCTAAATTGGGGGTGTGGGGGGAGAGCATAGAAACATACACATATAAGTGTTGATATGCACAGATGTCATTTCCAAATAAACCACATTAAACCCTCACATACACAGTCAAATGACTGACGAGGCTGCCAAGACCATTCAGGGAGGAGAGGGCAATCATTCCAACAAAGGGTGCTTGGGAGAGTAGCTATCCAATCACAGAAGGATGAAGTTTACCTTACCGTACATGACATACAGAAATTAATTCCAAATAAATCAAAGACTTGAATGTAAAACCTAACATTATAAAACTCTTAGAAGAAAACGTAGAGGAAAATTTTTACAATGTTGGACTGGGCAGTGATTTATTGGATATGACACCAAAAACGCAAGCAACCAAAATTAAGATGGATACACTGGACTACATCAAAATGAAAAAGCTTTTGGGTATCAGAGGACACTAGCAGCCCACAGAAGGGAAGAAAATATTTGCAAACCTATATCTGATAAGGTGTTAGTAACAAGAATCTATAAACAGCTATAATTCAACAAACAACCAATAAAAAAAAACAATTAAAAATGAGCAAAGGATTTGAATAGCTATTTCTCCAAGAAAGACATAAATGGCTAATTAACACATGCAAAGATGCTCAGCATCACTCACCCTCAGGGAAATGCAAATCGAAACCACAATGAGATAGCACCTCACAGCTATTAGGATGGCCGCTATCAAAAAAAAAAAAAAGAAAGAAAGAAAGAAAAGAAAAGAGAAATAGGAGAGAGAAAGAAAGGAAAGAAGAAAAAATAAGTCACAAATGTTAGCGTTGGAGAAATGGGAACCCGTGTGCACTGCTGATGGGAATGTAAAATGGTGCAGCCACTTTGGAAAACAGAATGGCTGTTTCTCAAAAAATTAAAAGCAGTATTTCCACATGATCCAGAAATACAACTTTGGGGTATATCCCCCAAAAGATCAAAAGCAGGGACACAAAAGGCTATTGGTACATCCATGTTCATGGCAGCATTATTCACAACAGCCAAGAGATGGAAGCAACTCAAGTGTCCATTGACAGATGAAGGGATCAACAAAATGTGGTCCATCCAGACAATGGAATATTATCCAGCCTCAGGAAGGGAGGCCATTCCGACCCAGGCTACAACACAGGTGGAACCTGTGAGGACATTATACCTAGTGAAATAAGCCAGTCATAAAAAGACAAATATCATATGATTCCACTTATCTGAGGTTCCTCAGAATAGTTAAATTCATAGAGACAGAAATAAGAGTGCTGGGTGCCAGGGGCTGGGGGGCGGGGAGAATGGTCAGTTGTGTAACAGGTACAGAGTTTTAGTTTTGCAGGATCAAAGACCTCTGGATATAAATTGTCCTAATGTCAACGTACTTAATGCTACTGAACAGTACCTTTACAAACAATTAAGTCAGTAAACTTTATGTTATGTATATATGTGTATATATACACAATTAATTAGATATACACAATTAATTAATAAGACAGTATTATGTCCTGTTTATCATTGTTCCCACCCAATGAATATCCCGGGTCTGACAAATGATATACATCCAACAAAGACTGGCCAAATAAACAGAAGGCCTCTAGAAGCTTCTCCCCAAAAAAGATCAGTCTAAGAGTGTCACTGCTATGCTCAAAAATCTCAGTTCTCTAGTTTGAAAATCCTGCTCTCCAGAGAATAAAGAGGAGGGGCATACGGGTATTCAGGAACTCTCTGTACTACCCTTGCAACCCTTCAGTAAATCTAAAAATTTCTGAAATATAAAGTATCTTTTTAAAACTGATAGGAAGGGGAGGTCCATAATAATGGCATGGAAAGGGTCCACTCTAGGGAAAGTAAACAAAGGAAGCATCCTTTGATGGTGTATCCGGCATGGTTTCGACCAAACAATAAAAACGAACAAAAAATATGCATATGAAAAAAAAGACTGGAAAGGAACATGCAAAATACATTAAAAAGAAACTTGTAACAAATAAAAATATTAGCAAGAGAAACACAGTGATCCTAGAGACTTGATCAACATCAAAGTTCCTAATCCTTTTCCTGGGCCAACGTTGACGGCCATTCACACGTTCTCTCCCACGAATGGGAGGAAACTGGATCGTGTGTGACATGCATTGCAGTGAGAGAGAGAGAGAACAGACTCATAAGACTGAGCTATAACATTACAGCTCCAGCCCAAGAAGCCTCCCGCGAAAAGTAATTCAATCGCCTGGCTCCTTTCCATTGCTCAAAGCCTTATAGAAACAACTCTAAGTCACATTTTTCTCTTCCATCCTGGAAAGCCCCAGTGAAATAAAAAACTTAGTAAGAGTGGAGATTCAATCCCAGGGCTTTGAAATGGTTTGACAAATGCACAGTTCGTTTTGGTTACAAAGGAAATAGCAAAAGGAGGTGAGGCAGCCTGGCTGGTGTGGCAAGAACCCAGGCTGTGGCTCTGGGGACCTGGGCACTGGTCCAGGCTGTGCCACGGATGTCATGTGTGAGCTCAGGCGAGTCACTTCCCTGCTCCTAGCCTCAGTTTCCCCAACTAGAAGATGAGACGGTCCCCAGCACTGGTTCTCAAACTTGAACACGCATCAGAATCACCTGGAGGGCTTGTTAAAACACAGATGGCGGGGTTCCACCCCCAGAGTATCTGATTCCATAGGTTTGGGTGGAGCCCCCGAATTTGTATCTCTAACAAGTTCCCAGGTGGGGCTGACACTGTTGATCTGGGACCCCGCCTTGAGAACCACTGGTCTAGAACATCCCAGTCGCTGACATTTCAAGAGGTATGATAGATACATCATACACTTTCTCATAGTCTTGAAGTCCTTCTTTCCTTTATCCATCCATTTATTTTTACAACAAATATTTCGGGGACTCCTACAATGCATGTGGCATTTTGCCGGGGGCTCACAGGTAAACAAACAAGATTGCTGGAGAAACAAAATACACATGTGTAATATTGTATAAAATTGGGGTGTGCGCAAAAATATAGAGGTGCAAGCTGGCACCAGACTTCTCATCTGCAGCATGGGAAACCAGAAGCCAGTGGAAGAGCGACTAGAGTCCACTTCAAGGGAAGGACTGCAGCTCAAGAACCCAATTTCCAGCCAAGATGCCGCCTGCTTGTCAGGGCAAAAGACGGAAAGAGATTTGAAGATAGGCAAAATATAATTCATTCAACAACTATTTGTTGAGCACCAACTATGGTCCAGCCACTGTCCCAGGCACTGGAGACATAAAAAGGGCAAATAAAATAAAGTGTCTGCCCTTGGTGAGTTTAACATTCTACTGGGGAAGACAGAGAGTAGAGGAGCGAGGAATGTCATCCACATGACTCCTCTGACAAAGGACTTTAGCCAAACAGCCAGTGAACTGGAGGAGAGTCCTCATAATTTGGGAAGATGAAAAGGAGAGGGAACAATGTTGAGCAATAAACTTACCAAAGGATTGGAGAGGATGATGGATGTATAATGGAAGGAGGGAGGGAGAGAGGATGTAAAATGGCAGGATGGATGGGAGGATGGGTGGGTGGGTGAATAGTCCAGTAGATATATAAATAAATTAATAGGAAAGAAAAACAGGATAAGAGAAACTAAATTCAAATGGATGAAGATAAACCCACTGGAGGGGCGCCTGGGTGGCTCAGTCAGTTAAACATCTGCCTTCGGCTCAGGTCATGATCTCGGGGTCCTGGAATTGAGCCCCACGTTGTGCTCCCTGTTCTGCGGGGAGTCTGCTTCTCCCTCTCCCTCTGCAGCTCCCCCTGCATGTGCTCTCTCATTCTCTCTCAGATAAATAATAAATAAAAATCTTTAATGAAAAATTAAAAAGAGAGAGAAGCAAATGTTTTTCACAGATCTCATCAGTGGAGCAGAGAGTAAGTGGGGGGATCTTCGAGCGGGCAGCAATGTGCCTTGCTGGGGGAAATGTCTGGTATTTATTTTGGGGGGCAGATAAGAATGGAGTAATATGCATCTGACGGTGAGAACGAAGAAAGGAAAGACAGTCATTAATTTAATAGAAAGACACAATAAGATATTCAAGTGCTCCAAAAAGCAAATGTGTGCAAAAGGAAAATGAAGGGAACGATATGTAAAAGAAATCATTATAATCATCATAAAGAAAAATGGGAACAAAGTCAAGTATATAAATCCTTACAGTAAACGAGAATGATCTAAATCTCCCATTAATTAGACAACAAGGATGGGAATATTGAATTAAAAACAAAACCTAACTATATCTCTTTTGTGAATCACACTTTCCACTTAGTGGCAATGGCAGAAAATCAAGGTGTGGACAGAGAGGCAATGCAACTGAAGGGAAGGCAGGAATAGCACTATCGAAGTCAGACCATATGGAATTTAAGTGAAATGGAATAAATAGGATAAAGAATCCCTTCACCTTTATCATCACACTTGAAAAAGAAGACCTAATGTATGAGGAAGATATAACAGTCCCTCGTGTGCCAAATAAAATAGTTTTTCCCTTGTATATTTACCTGCTACTTTATTTTTTTAAGATTTATTTTTTTTAAAGATTTTATTTATTTATTTGACAGAGACAGAGATAGCGAGAGCAGGAACACAAGCAGCGGGAGTGGGAGAGGGAGAAGCAGGCTTCCCCCCGAGGAGGGAGCCCGATGTGGGACTCGATCCCAGGACCCTGGGATCATGACCTGAGCCACCCAGGCGCCCTTAAGATTTATTTTAGAGAGAGAGCGCGCACGCAAGTGTGAGTGGGGGAGAGGGAGAGAAAGAATGTCAAGTAGACTCCCCGCTGAGCGCGAAACCTGATGTGGGGCTGGATCCCACAACCCTGAGATTACGACCTGAGCCGAAATCAAGAGTTCGACGCTTAAGTGACTGAGCCACCCAGATGCCCCTTATCTGCTACTTTAAAGAGGTAAAATGGAAGATTCCAGAACTAGACAGATCTAGCAGGACAAAACATAAGTAAGGGCACAGAAGAATTAAATCACACAACCAATAAACTTGGTTTTA